ATACCCATTTAGGTAGGATGCTCATCTTTATGGTAGCTATCCTACCTAGCAGTGATATTTGTAGTTTCCCCCACTGTTCCAAGTCTTGCTTAATTTTCCCTAATAATGGTGTATAATTGTCTTCCTTTAAGGCCGAACATCTTGCCGTTATCCAGACGCCTAGGTATTTTATCTTTTTGACTATTTGCAGGCCCAGAGTTTCTTCTAATATTCTCTTTTGCCCTTCTGATATATTTTTGGTTAACATTTTGGTTTTGGTTTTATTCAATTTAAATCCAGATAGTTTCCCATAGTCATCTAATTCTTTCAAGACTTTTTGTCCCGTTACTAACAGTTCCTCCATAATTAATGCTACATCATCAGCAAATGCCTGAATTTTAAATATTTCGCTCCTAATTTTCAATCCTCTTATCTCATTGTTATGTTTAATTCTTCTTAGGAGAACCTCCAAGGCCAATATAAATAGAAGCGGTGACAGCGGGCAGCCTTGTCTCACTCTCTTGCTAATCTGGAAGGTTTTTGTCATGTCACCATTTAATAAAATGTTTGCTCTTTGTTTATCGTATATTGCTATAATCGCATTCTCAAAATTTTCACCAAAGTTCATCTCTTTAATTTGCTGGATCATGAATCCCCAATTTAAATTATCAAATGCCTTCTGGGCATCTAGAAGACTAGTGCCATTTGTTTCTCAGAATGTATTTCGTAATATTCTTGAACATCTATCACGACCCTCAAGTTGTTCTTAATCTGCCTTCCCGGGAGAAATCCATTTTGATCAGAGTGAATCCAATTATTCAATATTATCTTCATCCTTCCTGCGATAACACTCATAAATATTTTATAATCTGTATTGAGTAGGGAGATAGGCCTATAATTCTTTATTTGTTTCGAATCGGTACCTTCTTTTAAGACTAATGTACGCCTCCCTCCACAAATCTGGGATCTTGGATCCTCTCAAAGCCTCATTACATATTACCAACAATTTTGGTATGAGTATTTCCTCCAGATCACTATTTTTATAGAGTTCTCCTGGGAGACCATCCGGGCCTGGTGTTTTATTATTCTTTAATTTAGATATTACCCTCCTTAATTCCTCCACCGTAATCTCCCCATTAAGCATCTCCCTTTCTTCCTCTTTTATCTGAGGGAGTTTCTCTTTTTCCAAATATTGTTTAATTTTTTTCCATTGGGGTTTCCTCCTCCTTATACAAAGCTTCATAATATTTTCAGGCCAATTCCAATTTTTCCTCCTCTTTGTTCAATATTTTTCCATCCAGGTTTTCCAATTGATGTTTAATCCCCTTTTCCTTCTCCTTTTTTAATTTGTACGATAACCACCTCCCCGGTTTATTTGCGTTCTTAAAATAATATTGTTTAGATTGTTTAATTTTACATGTCAATTCCTCTTGCTCCAATAGGTTTAATTTGTGTCTTATTGTCATCCAATTTTCTTTTACTACCTCATCGCCCAGGTTCTGCTGTAGTCTCTTTTCTACTTCTCCTAGTTGATCTACCAGATCCTTCTGCATCTTCCTTTTCTCTTTATTTTTATGTATGCTATGCGATATTACTAGCCTCCTTAAATATGCCTTCATTGTATCCCAAACAATCGCTTGAGACATCTCTTGACTTTCATTTTCCACAAAAAATGATTTTAGCTTTCCCCCAAGTTTTTTGGTAAACTCCTTGTCTCTCAGAATTTGGGTGTTTAACCTCCATCTCTTCTGTTTTTTCCTTTGTGGGTTTTTCCACTTTATCTCCAGTGGACTGTGATCAGCCCATATATTTGGGGTTATTTCCACTGTATCGATTTCCATCCCCAAGGCTCTACTGACCCACATCATGTCAATCCTTGACCAAGATTTCTGGGGGTTCGAGTAGAAGGTAAATTGCTTCTCATTCGGGTGTAAAGCCCGCCATATATCCACTAAATTTTGTTCATCCACTAGAGCAAAGAAGGCTTTTGGCAGCTTTTCCCTCATTTTCTTTTTTTCTTTACCGCTCCTATAATCCTTATCCTGGTTTACTACCCCATTAAAGTCCCTGAGTACACAAATATTTCTGTATTCCATGCTTTTTTTATCACCCAATTTCTTGTAAAACTCTGCCAGGTTTCTATTTGGAGCATAAATAGCTACTACTAATATTGGGATATTCCCCCTCATAATCTCAATTGCCAGTATTCTTCCTTTCATATCGGTATATTTAAGTTCAGCGGTGATCCCTTTTTTAACATATAGTGCTACTCCCCCCTTTTTTTTCGGCTAAGGAGGTAAAGGTCATCCCAAATTTATCAAATTCTAAGTATTTCCCCTCTTCTCTTTTTATATGAACCTCTTGGAGGCATATTATATCAGCATTTTGTTTATTTAATTTCGAAAATATGTGTTTTCTTTTCCTATCATAGTTTAAGCCATTAACATTAACAGATAATAATTTCCATCCCCCCCATCTCTCTACTAAGCTAGTTTAGTTCTTATTTGCTCGTACAGCTCTTTGCGATTTTGTTTCTTTCCCTTAGTCTCTTTGATCTCCTTCTCTTCTGTCTCTTTTTCCTCTGGTGTTCCTTCTTTAGACTTCCTTTGTTGTACGCTTTCTTCCTCTTGGGAGACCACCTCCAGCTCCTCCTTACTACTATGGTCTTCCTCTGCACCTCTCAGCTGATCCAAAAATTCTTGTGCAGAGATGAGGCTGTCTATTTTAATTTTTTTCCCTTGTGAAGTGATCAGCATTCCCTCCGGTAAGATCCATCTAAAGGGAATATTCCTCTTGCTTAACTGTATCGCCAGGAACCTGTAATCTCTTCTCAAATCCCTCACTCTCTTGGGGACTTGTTTCAGGATTATCACCTCCTTCCCTTTATAGGTCACAGGTTCCTCTCTCACAATGTTATATAGGATATCTTTAACTTTCTTCCTTGCAAATCTAATTTGCACTTCTCTAGGCAGTTTATTTCTCCTAGCATAGTTAGTTTGCACTCTGTAGACTTCATCCACCTCTTTTACGATATCATCCTTGTCTTGCTGTAATATTTCTGCTATTAGGTTTACCATTACTTGGCCCAGATCTTCGTCCTTGTCTTCCACTATGTTTTGGAAACGTAGATAGAAAGATGCTCTATCCATTTCAAACTGGATTATAGAGTCCTCTAATTCCCTATTTTGTGCCATCAGCTTCTGATCGATAGAGTCAAGATTCCTTTCATTCTGTTCCATCCTGGTCTCCACCTTTATTATTTTTTGTTCATTATTGTATATGGATTCTTGGATCTCACTCATTTTTTGGTCAATGGCATGGATATCTGTCTTCAGTTCTGCATGATTATTTGTCATCTTTTCTTGCATTTTAAGCATGGTATCCTGTATCGTTGACAAGGTCGCTTGCATTGCTTGCATGGCTGGCAACACTCCCTTGAGATCAATCCCCACAGTCACCAGGGATTGGCGTTTAGGTCCTCTTTCCACATCAGCCGCCCCAATTTCTTGCTTCCCGTCGTTTGCTGGCTACCGTGGCTTCGGGTCTGCCATTAATCAGCAGATGCACCCGTGCCGGTTAGACAGAGGTTTCCGTTCAAGCGGAAGGTGGTTGCACCTCGCTTTTCCACTCTTCGGATTCCCTCTATTGTCCGAGAAGCTCTCCAGGCTTTCTCGCCTCTTGAGATCTCCAAAACACGGTGAGAAAACGGTGTTGAAGAGCAGTGATCGCTCTTACAATGCCATGTCGCCACGAATCGCCAACTGGAAGTCCATCTGAGGTAGTTTTCATCACAACAAAAACAAACTTAGGTAAAGAAAAAAAATAGTAATTGAAGCTGAGTTTCAAAGCAGTGATATTCTACATATAAGCCAAATATAACCACTGCACTACCAGAACCATGAATGAAGAGTTTCTATAATGTTAGCGGAAACAGAATTCATTGAATAAGCATGAAATTGCTTGATAAAGGAATGTTGATTTTAAAGTTCATTGTTCTGTCTGCATTTTTATTTTTTAGCTTTGTCTATATGAATTTTATAGTATATATGGTTGCGTGTTTATGCATACCTATACACCAATGTATACATATACTCTACTAAAAGTATGCATATTCAGTGGAATGAAATCATAGAAAGGAAGGCAAATGTCATTTGTTAAAGCTCCTGTGGAAAGTTGTGACAAAATAGCAGCAGAAAAATTATCCAGTGTGTGTGGTAGCTTGTAGTATTCTTAAGATGGCTTTGAGTCCAACCAGCATTAGCACATGACAGGAAGAGCTTAAGGACCCAGTGCAGAGATGCAGAATGCTTCAACTCAAAACAAATCTGAATTGCTGAATTCACTTAATAGAATACATACAATAAAAACAGCACAATATCTTATCTGTGGTAGGCTTTTCAAAATATAAGGATCAGAGGTGGCATTCAGCCGATTTGCACCGATTCGCACAAACCGTTGGTGGAAATTTGGCCAAGGTCGACGAACCGGTAGTGATGGGCAGCTAGCCACGCTCCCGAACTGATCCCCCCGGTTGCCCCGCCTGCCATGTTCGTTGCCACCATGTTCTTCGCACATGTGCATCCCATTGCCTTGCAAGTCCAAGCAAAGAACATGGTGGGGACTGCAGCAGCTTTTTCCATGACCTCCGGTACTTTTCAGTGGCCTGCAGCCAGCTTCTTTGCCAGCCACTTTCCAGCAGTGGTGGTGAGGAAGCGAGGCTAGGACTGGGGCCGCTAAAGGAGGGGAACCAGGGGTGAGTGGTAAAGGGGGGGCAGGGGTAGATAGGTGGAAATTCCAAAAATTTTCCTACCTTTTCCTGTGAGTGTGACTAGGTGGGGGGGGTCATGTGATTAAGTGGGCGTGGGCATGAGTGATGTCAAGTTGGCCATGCCCACTCAATTACATGCCCCCCATCTAGTCATGCCTACCAAACCAGTAGTGAAAATTTTTGAAACCAACCACTGATAAGGATCACTGCGTAAATTATCAGCAGCAACAACAACTGAAGTGATATTACTTACTGGAAAGAAAGTGCTGAGAAGTGGGGCCAAAATCTCGGTGGGCCTCATGCAGTTGCCTGATACGCTCATCAATGGACAACTAGATGGAGAGGAGATTAAGTGCAACAATCAGAAAAAATAATCATTACTTTCATAGACCTGTACAACTATTATTGCTACTACAATTTACAAACAATACAATCAAAACTTTCATCTGGAGAAGAAAATATTTGATTAAAATCCTGAGTGAAACTTTATTTACAAGAATTCTAGTTATATGAATGATACAGAATGAAAATTCATCATGATTTCAACCATTGGATGGGGAGCATTCTATTTTTATGTTGTAAATAATTTATATAAATTACAAATAAGCAGCATAAACAGATATTGCTTTTTCATTTATATATAGTTCACATTTAATCTGCATATTGCTCAAGTCTATCAAACCGGATACAATTTCTTTTTTTGTAACAATAATATTTTCAAAGATTTTTTTTAACTGAGGCTATCAAGAAAAAAAAAACTCTTCCAGGGAATCTATGAAATTGATTGCTCAGCACCAGTGGGGCTGCTTCAGAGTGGGTTGGACAGGGGTTTTGTATTAGCATTGTTTTTTTCTATGAGTGACATATGTCCATCTGTCTTCTAAGGGCTCGATTATTTTAGACGTTGTTTGATCATTATTATGTTCAATTTGGGCATATTCTTCTTGCGAGGTTTGGGGTTTCACATTTTGTAGGTTGAGTTTCAGAGTAGTTAAAGTTTTTTCTAGACCTTTTACTTTTTCTTCTAGTAAATTAATTAGTTTACATTTGATACATATATAGTCTGGGTCTTCTATGGGCATAAATGTATACATGGAACATGTTTTGCATATCGCAATAGTATCAGTTTCTTTGTCCATGAGTGGGTTAAATTTTTTTTTGTGAAAATGTAGACAGTTTTATCACAGATTTTTGAATGGGAAAAATGTCCAGTTTAGAAATTTGTTATTCCAACAGATTATTTATTTAAAATTTTCAAAATTTAAGAAAAAATGTCTAGTTTAAAATTTTAAAGTTCTAGAAGTTCATTTAAAAGGTCAAATTTTAAAATTTTCAGTGGGTGGGGCTTAAATTGATTCTCATCCTGTAATGGAATATTCTATAATTATCCCTTTTCTCCCTGCCTTCTTGTGATCCTTTCCCTTCCTACTTTCTGGTGAGATTTATTTATCTCTTTCTTCTCCCTTTATATGTTCCTATTGTCTACTTGGCTTTGATTTTTTTTTGCCTTGTGTTCTGTAGTTGTTGTCTTTTTATCCTTTCTTCCTACTTGCTTTTCGCCTGCCACTACTAGATATTCAGCTCTCCCTGCTTTTCAATTTGCGTCATTGCCCCCCCCCCCCCGTGTTGGTCTGCCACACTGTTCCATTGCTGTTTCCAGTCACCAGTTCACTGTGCTGCAATGCTCCACCACCACTGATTCCACCATTGCTCCACCATCACTTTCACTACTGCTCTCTGCGCTGCTCTCAGGCTCTAGTTCGCTATGCTGCCCCTTGCTGCTGGTTCTCCTCCCTGCTGCACTGCTGTTGCTCTTTGCTCTGCAGGCTCCCGTTTGCTGGTCTGTCATGCCAGAATGCTGCTTCCACCAGCAAACAGGGCTGCCTAGATGGTCCACATTAAACTTGCCTCTCCTCTCCTCTCCTCTCCTCTCCTCTCCTCCTCCCTGCTCTGCTAAGTGATAGGAAAGGTGATGGAATAAAATTGTGTTCTATCACAATTGAACATTTTACCTTTTTGCTATTTTATTTAGATAGACAATATAAACAATTTTATCTGATATCACTTGGAGAATAATGCACACTTACAAAAAAGTACCACATTAAGTGACAAGTACTACATGTCATTGTGTGTATTTAACTTTCTATTTATACAGAAAATTAAGGAAGCAGAAATAAAATTAGTTGCAAACAGAAATCTGAGTTTAGAATCAATAGAATTTCTGTTTTTTGTACATCGATCTCATACATTACCTAGTAATCACTGTAATTGTAGACCAAGCAATGCCTACTTGTTTTCTAAACTGTTGCAAAAGCTAACCTGAACTAATCCCTGGAATTTTCTTGGCAAGGTTTTCAGAAGTGATTTGCTACTGTTTTTTCCTAGGGCTGAGAGAGAATGACTGGTCCAGATCACCCAGTTGGTTTTGTGCCTAATGTGGATCAAGAAATCATGGTTTCCTGCTTTCCAGACTGAAGCCTTAACCACTACAGCAACATGCTCTCAATGAAATATTCATGGTATTCATGATTTAACTTAATGTTTTCTAAATAATGCATTTAATAAGATTGAAATAATTTTTTTAATTTGTAGATTTTAGCAAGAAAACTCTTGTGTTAATTTGTGTTAACACAAAAAGAAAAAGAACACAGACAACTTGACTTCAATCTGATCATGGAGAATGCTCTCCTCTCCTATTAATAGTGTTACTTGCTGTTAAAAATGTAATTTTATACACATATTACTTCTTCTGTAGAGCTTTTGACAAACACATTTTCAGTCTGTATAGAGAACTAGGAAAATGCCTTTCATAACAGGTTTCTATCAAAGGATCTCTATAGTATTGCATTAGATTCATTCCCTACCTGCTTTTTATCTGTGTCTGTTGGTATTTCCTTTTTTATAATCCTTAGTGATGCCTATTTCCTCAAACTAAGATGATTTAATTAGTTTTCATGCAACAATTCCCAAACATTTCACAAGTTATTATGGAAGAATGGTCAAGAAACTCATTAGACAACTGCACCTTTTCTAATACATTCTATTTATATATTCATTTTCATTTTCATTTTATTAAATTTGTATACCGCCCTACTCCCGAAGGACTCAGGGCGGTGAACAGCCATGAAATAAAACATATAAATACAAAATTTAAAATAGAAATAAAACAAGTTAGATAAATTTGGCTGAACCATATTTAAAACCCCAATAATTTAAAACCAAATTTAAAATTCCCATTTAAAAGAGGAGAAGTTTAGGTCAGGCCGGCTTGCTGGAATAGGAACGTCTTCAGCGTGCGACGGAAGGTACGCAGATCCGGAATCCTCCGTATCTCGGGGGGGAGCTCGTTCCAGATAGTAGGTGCCCCCACAGAGAAGGCTCTCCTCCTGGGGGCCACCAGTCGACATTGTTTGGCCTACGGCACCCGGAGGAGCCCCTCTCTATGGGAGCGTACTGGTCGGTGGGAGGCTATTGGTGGTAGCAGGCGGTCCCGTAGATAACCAGGTCCTAAGCCATGGAGCGCTCTAAAGGTGATGACCAAAACCTTGAAGCGCACTCGGAAGACCACCGGGAGCCAGTGCAGCTCGCGCAGGAGAGGCGTTACATGGGAGCGCCACGTCGCTCCCATCATCACCCGCGCGGCCGCACTCTGCGCCAGTTGGAGCCTCCGAGTGCTCCTCAAGGGGAGCCCCATGTAGAGAGCGTTACAATAGTCCAGGCATGGTCGATGGTATCAAAAGCCGCTGAGAGATCTAATAGGACCAGGATAGAGGAACAACCTCTGTCCCGAGCCCTCCAGAGATCATCCACCAACGCGACCAATGCCGTTTCCGTGCTGTACCCAGGCCTGAAGCCCGACTGGAACGGATCTAGATACGTCGTTTCATCCAGGTACCAGGGAAACTGTCGTGCCACCACACTCTCAACAACCTTCGCAACAAAGCGAAGGTTGGAGACTGGACGATAATTAGCCAATATTGCCGGGTCCAGGGAAAGCTTCTTGGGGAGAGGTCTCACCACCGCCTCTTTCAAGGCGGCGGGAAAGACACCCTCACTCAATGAAGCATTTAAAATCCCCTGGAGCCAGCCTCGCGTCACCTCCCGGGAAGCCAGCACTAACCAGGAGGGGCACGGGTCCAACAAACATGTGGTCGCATTCAGTCTACCCAGAATCCTGTCCACGTCCTCAGGGGTCACAGAGTCAAACTCATCCCAGATAACATTCTCAGGACCTGCCTCCGTCATCACCATTGGATCTACCCAGTCAGAGTCCAGATCTTCCCGAATCTGAGTGATTTTGTCATACAGATACTGAACAAAGTCCTCGGCTCTCCCCTCCAAGGGGTCCTCCCTCGCTTCCTGGTGGAGCAGGGAGCGGGTCACCCTAAACAGGGCGGCCGGGCGGTTATCTGATGACGCAATAAGAGCAGCAAGATGAGTACATTTTGCTGCTTTTATCGCCACTAGGTAATTCTTAATATGAGATCTTACCAGTGTCCGGTCAGATTCAGTGCGACTGGCCCTCCAACTACTCTCTAGGCGTCTTTTCCGGCGCTTCATCTCCCTCAGCTCCTCAGTAAACCAAGGAGCCAGGTGAGATCGGCGCCTGGTCAGAGGCCGCAAAGGCACGACTCGATCCAGAGGTCCAGCGGCCGCCCTATCCCAGGCGGCCACTAAGTCTCCAGTCGAGGCATGAGCCAGGACCTCAGGCATTGGCCCAAGCTCCGTCTGGAACCTATCAGGTTCCATCAGGCGCCTGGGGCGGTACCATCTTATCGGTTCCGCCTCCCTGCGGCGGGGAGCAGCGGTTCGAAGATCAAGGCAAAGGAGAGAGTGATCCGACCATGACAAGGGCTCGATGACTATGTCCCCTATCTCGAGATCACTCAGCCACTGTCCAGAGACAAAAATCAGGTCCAGTGTGTTTCCCCCCATGTGCGTAGGGCCATGAATTAACTGGGTCAGATCCATAGCCGTCATGGAAGCCATGAACTCCCGAGCCACCTCAGACGTCTCACCCACGGACGGCAGGTTGAAATCCCCCATGACCATAAGTCTGGGGGTATCAACCGCCACCGCGGTGATAACATTGAGTAGCTCGGGCAGGGCTGCTGCCACGTGGCAGGGAGCCAGGTACGTGATCAGCAAACCCATCTGAACCCCATGACCCCACTTCACAAGGAGGGTCTCACAACCGGCCGTTTGAGGAACAGTGGTCTCCCTCGGCCTAAAACCTTCTCTAATAATAACCGCTACTCCCCCGCCCCTCCCCTGAGACCTCGGTTGATGGAATGCGTGGAAGCCTGGTGGGCACATTTCTACCAGAGGGACC